AATGTTGCAATTGTTAGACCACCACCTGCACTATCACCCATAATTACAATATTTTTAGGTTCAATTGGTAGAAAATCTGCATCTTTTGGTGGATCAATAAGATACTTGTAGGCAGTTATGGAATCATGTAAAGCGGCAGGAAATTGATTTTGTGGTGCAAGTCTATAATTTATTACTTTAGAAATAAAATTATGTGTTGTTTGTTAGTCAACTAAACCTTTTTTTTTTTTGTCAAGTCAAATTTCATTTTCATAATTACAATCAATTACCAAATAGTCTTGCATTTGTAGATTTTGCAATTTTGGAAGTATGACTACGATAAAAACTGGGACAACCAAAAATATATCCACCACTATGCAAGTACAAAATAACCTTATCATATTTTTTCTTGTTGCTATTGCTTTCTTCTTTTTTAACATAAACCCATTCACATTCTAACCCATCCCCAAGATTAACACTTCTCCAATCATCAAGAAGCACGTGATTATAATCTTTCAAAATCCCATCAATGTAAACTTCCGATTTTTTACGAAGTGAATTTGACAATGACAGCTCATCTACATGTACACCATCATCAACAGCACTATTGACCGTAAACATTTTTTGAATATCTTCGAAAGGTTTACCAAATGCATCTTTTTTAATGTTGAACATCAAGTAAAATTTTAAGTCCCATGATGGTTGTGGTGGTCCGTAACGATAATAATTAATGGTGGATGAGAGTAACATGGGTGCTTTTGGAAGCAAGGATGCGAAATCCGACATTTTTTTATTATATAAGTAAATATAACATTTAAATTCTTTTTTTAAAAAAATTTTTATTTCATAAAATAAATTCATGCATTTATTTATTGATTTTAAAATATTAATTCAATTTATTTAACACATGACAATTGAAATCAGTTATGTCGATTATAGTTGGACCACTACTACTATTACTAATTATGGTGTGGACAATAGAAACAGAGAGAAACAAAGGCATGTGTTTCCATTGTCCACCACCTTATGTGTGAAATTGTGAAACTTGAATTTTTTCAGGTCTTTAGCCAATCAATCAATTTGGCAAAGCAAAGCTACTCCGGAGGCTTTTGCATCCTGTTTTACGATAAGATTATCTCCCCTTAAAATATTATATAGTCTAAAATAGTTAGCCAATTTTGTCGAGTATTCAATTTATTATTAAAGCAGTTTTAAATAGAACTGACTCCAGTATCAATTTTTTGGCGTGACAAAATTTGCCCATATAAAGGAAATTAATTAAAATAATTACTTTTTAGGAAGAATTAAAGGAAATGTCTCCCAATTCAAAGTACTTGGTTTGATGTTAAATTCGCCATGTTTAAAAGTAGTTGGCATAACCTTATCACAACACCATGGTGTTTTGAGGCACGTGGCCAGACATAGTGTCTTTCCTAAGCATCTAACTAATTGATGGATGTTAATAATCATTATTTTTTTTTTGTTTATTTACAAAATGTTAAATTTTATATATAGATAAGGTCTGTATATGAAGTAAACATAGTGGTGGTTCCAAAAACTCTTCTTTTTTGAAAGTAGGCTGTGATTGCGATTGTTCATCAATGGTCCCAAAGGAAGAGTTTGCAGAATTACATGAATCCTTTCAAGCTCTTTCTCAACTAGAACAAGGCAACCTTTTAATGGCTCAGATCATGGCAATGGATGATGATTGGGTAGTAATATGAGCAGGCGCCTCAAAAAGAAAGCTCACGTCAATAAAAGAACTGAAATCACAATATTTTAATGTGCCAAAATTTTTCATAAATAATCAAGTGTTCATGGTAATATTAAAAGAATGCCTTCTGCACATTATTTATTCTACTGGTTATAATTGTTTATAAACTATAAATGCTATGGTTGATTGTGAAAATATTCAAGCCACAAACTTGTTTATTTTAATTGGTGATCCGCCGATCAACGATAGAAATTTGTTGTGCAGATTCAGGATATCAAAATTTAAGGGATCATGGAATCCAAGAAAAAACATAACTCAGTAATATAATGTGGATCGTCTTTACCATCATCGTTTAAAGCTCCAAATGGATCGAATTTATACTTAGCTTGAAATTAATATTATTTTTTATAAAATCACGAATAGAAGTAAACAATAATAAACTATGAATCATATGATATTTGAATTTTTTAACCGTTTAAATCGTCATCAATAATTTTATGACAGAAAAAAATATCAAATGAGAATAATTCAAGATTACATGTTTTAACAATATTTGTGCTTTTAATAAAAAAATGATTTTTAGATACTGAAATAGTCAAATTTCGCTTCAACGAATTTATGGAACACATAGGAAAATTTCATTTAAAATTCGTTATGTAAAAATTACTAATCACGTTTCAACGAATTTCATATTAATATGTTTTTAAAAATTCGTCATAATGCGAATTAAATTATAATTCGTTGAAATGAGGTTTGACTGTATAAAATTTCACAGATATTTGCGGAGAATTAAAACGAAATGCAAAACGGTTAAAAAATCTATTTTATTATTGAGAGTTCCTGTTCATAATACAAATTCTTATTCAAGTTATTCGGAATACAACTCAATTAATTTGTTTTATTCGTTTTGTTGTTTATTTGAATTATTCGTTTCATCCATTTTATTCAAATTATTCATTTTATTCGAGTTTGTTATTCGAATAAAAACTCCAAGTTGAGCAAGCTCGAGTTAAAACTTGAATTTCAAAGCTCAAGAAAATAGGCTCTTTAAGTAAATATGCATAAATAGGATAAAAGTGTTATGAAATAATCATTCGTTATCATTTATCGGCTTTCAACTCGAAAACTTGAACCTATTATTTCTTGGCCCGTTCAGAGCTTAAGCAATTCGGTCAACGCTAGAAAATGCTTCTGAAATATTTCCAACTGGTGCAAGTGGATTGTTTTTATCTCAGGACTGCCCAACTTGTAATTTTTTAGGTAAAATATAGCATTACAAATCAAGCTAAATCTGCCCTCAGTTAATTTTGTAATATTCTCAAGTTGCTCAAAAGGCATCCATTCTAACATATGGTCTGGCAAAGATGGTTTCATTTTGACATTGTTGAATAAAATCGTCAGTTATGTTATTTCCAGATGTCCAAGTAGTGAAAAGGCCCTGTAATTAATTATAACCTTCACAGAATCTATCAGAGTATCCTATCAATTTACACTTGTTACATTCTTTTGGTTTGTCACATTTATATTTAATTCAATCATAAATAAACTTTCTTTGGAGTATACTTTTTCGTTTTCAGAAATCTCCTTGTTTTTTTAACTAATAAAAAAAAAAATATTTTCTACTGCATTATTATATATTCCATACAAATTTCTTTCTTTTGGTGATAAAAACAATAATAATCTAACCTGTGACATTATATAAAATATAAAATATAAATTCGACTTGATGTTTTAATGAATAGAGCGAGATTTTTTTTTTTTTTGAAAAATAACAGTTACATTATTTCCTTTTGAACTGAATAGCGAGCGTGTAACAACATTTTTTATTTTTCTTTAACAGGGTTAATTGATAATAATAACATTATTTAAAGAACAACTTCATTATCACCAAACTCTAGTAATCTATTTATCATGATTCAACAATAAAAGAGTTTCAGCATTCTTTGAAGATTTAAATATGATAAAAATAGAAACAAAATTAAAACTTACGAAAATATATACCAAAAACTAATGTAAAGGTTCAATATATGTTGCTTCAAACTCGGACGCTAAAGACAGCTCAAGCATATTATTGATATTATTGCGTATTATTATTACGCGTAGTTAACTTCAAGGGTCAAAATTTTAACACAACTCATATGTATGTAAAGACAATTTGATGTAAAAAGAGGAGGCATTTTTATTTTGAAAGAAAACATACAAAAAGAAACAAGTAGTTTAATTAAGTAAAATTTCTAGTTCAAATTATAACATTTATTCTTCTTGCATCATTGCAATATCATTATTATTGTTGCTGCTTGTATCAAGTGTTTTTACTTACGCCAAGTGGATTTACTTACGTCAAGGACTTTCATTTTAGTCAAATCGTCAAAATTGCCCTGGTGAGAAACTACCTTTAATCAATATTTTAGTTACGTCAATGACTAAAGTCAAAATTTTCGTCATATATCATTACAGAGGACAAAAGAATGATTTTCGGTGTTGGATGATGAGCGGCGAGGAATCAAAAAGTAAGCCATCATCACCATTATTTATTTTCTTGTAACATCTATTCAAATTTTCTACTAGAATAACATTTCAATCTTTCATCTTTAGATTTAACGTGAACTGAATAGAATATATCAAATGTATATATAATATATATTTAATTGAGCGAGAAGAGAAAAGGCGAATCAATCAATCAATCAAATGATAATAAAAAACTTGTCCATGCGATAGTTCAGGTTGTAATTTAAATCCTTTGATACTTTATTGATTTAATCAAATTTTTATTATAAAATCCAAAATCTAAAAAAATAATCTCCAAATTGTGTAATATAATATATCCTTCACCTCTTCTAACTGTAATATAAACTGAATGAATTTAAATTTATTCAAATTAGTAATCCGTCTCTTCTTTCACAACTGTTCCAAATGTATCACTAGGATGATCCTCACGATGAATATCAAGTGTATAAAGTGCAATTTCTTTGGCTTCAATCAGCCTTGTGTTTTTCGAAATTTCTACTAGATAGTGTTCTCACATGAACACTACAATTTTATAATATCATCTCAAAGATCGTATATTTACGCGTAAATCAAAATACTCGTTTAGTCTTTCCATTAACCATGATATTTTTGTTATCCCCTCTCTTCTACTTTTTTTTTTGGGAAATAATTTATGGAATCTATGTGAATGCGATAATTATTTTTCGCCGATTGTTTTATTTGACTAAATTTTTTAACATTAGGCTGGACAAACTCGATTTTCGGTTCACAGAATTTGAAAATGACCGTTTTTTATTTTTATAGCGTGTGGAAATTTCACAAGTAAAATTTGACGAACTCTAACTGCTAATAGTACTTTTGCACAATCAAATGTCAACTATTCACTTTATTATAAAAACATAAAAATTCTATTTTATTAGATGAAAATGTAATTATTGAAGACTTTTTAGAATGGAATTTATTCCTAGTGCACAATATGCAAAAAATGTCGGTATGGTTGCGCAATGCAGAAAATGTGATGAGTGGAGAGCTATATGTATTCAAAATCAAAACTTCATCGTCAAGAACCTACTAAATCAAGTAGATTTCTATACGGTGTTCAGCGTACTTGTGGCGATCCTTTCAAAAGGCTTAACCTCAGAAATGAGTTCTCTGAATTATTTTTAAAAGTCAACGATAAATTAAATTGCTGAAATTTCATATTAATATGGATTGTTTGAGGATGAGATGTGTTTTGTTTGTGGTGAACAATGTGAACAAGAGGATATGTTAAATCTATCAAACAAACAGACAATGAATTTTATTACTATTGTGACAAATGTAGCGAAAAAACAAACAAGAAAAATCATAGTAAACCACTCTTTAGTCCAAATACGGTATACCTTGTTACAATTAAATTATTATTGTTATATGTCCAGCCACTTCGTTGTAACAAGTCGAAAGAAAAAGAACAACAATTTTCATTTGATCACGTGAAATAAATTTTTTCATTCAAAAAAAGTGACTCGGCGGGTTATGCGAACCAAAAAATTGAGTTTATACGGCATTATATATCAATCAATTGGTTTTTTTGGCATTTTAATAA